TTTGCTCCCGCCGTTTTTACAAGTATAAATTTATACCTGTAAAAACGGTTGTACACCCAATAGTATGCATGGATTTTAAATTTCTGTTTATATTAACACCATCATGGTATGGGTTTAAAATACATAGTATTAATAACAATACAATGAAAATTATATAGACACAGCTATTTTTTAGAACATAGTTTTCCAACAAGAGAGATACATATAGGAATAAATAACGATACAAGAATAAATATTTTTTGCAATATCGTTTTTCCTTTTCTTTCTAATTTCTCTACGCATAAATATCCTCATCACATAAACAAATACGAGGATCATTCTAAAAGTAATAAGCAATCATTTTTTTATAAATTAGAATCCTTTAGTGTTAAAAAACTAAGTATGTTATCTTAATCTACAATTTTTTAATTAATTTTTTACATAATTCTTATTTCTATATGTACTTTTTTCCACATTCAGCAATTTGAAGATTTCCTGGCGATAAAACTTCATTGCAGTTGTCTGAAGTCAGTGACACACTGTTTCACAAAGCACGTTCTCGCCAATGTTCTCCTAAAGGAAAGATCACCTTACAGCCACAATGCTCAACCTTCCTCCGGCCATTTCACCTCGGAAAAATCAAGAAATTCTTCCTTTCCGTCCTACTGCCTGATGGTATTCTCTGATTACTATCTTTTTGGTTTCGTGAAATGCTATAGATAAAGATGACAATCTACCGTCTTCGAATAGACGGAAATCTACCGCAAGGAAATATTTAAAGTTCCAAAATAGTAAAGAAATGTACGAAGAAATAAAGATTATGTAGAAAAGTATACAAAAGACTGAACATTAAAATAATATATATATTGAATGATGAAAATAATGTACTTTGGTTTTTCAATTCCAAAAATTCTAATTTATAAAAAGATTATTACTTATTACTTTTGGTACTGTCCTCAAATATTATTTGTCGCTTCAAAGAATTTAGTCTAAAAATTAAATCAGAATTTTTATTTTCAATTTAAACTAAATTAATTTTATTTCATAAATATAATATGGGTATTTCCACTTGTAAAAATTTTATTGTAATGCCATATTACATTATAAATAAATATGAAAAATGCAATTATTTTGTTGCAATTTGTATGTTATGGTATTATATATGGTAACATTTAAAAAATTGGACACTTCCGGATCATTAAAGATATATCGAGTATATTTGTTGTGATGTAGATATTCTAAAATACATAAAGTTTGAGCGTATTCAAAGTGCACGCATCGTACATCATGATTAGTTATTTGAGAAAAGCAATTTGATCTGACAGCTTGATAGTTTTACGTCCGACATGTGTCGATAAAGCTAAAAGACAAGTTACAGATTATGCACTTTATAAAAAATTATAAAATAAACCGTAGATTCAAGTGATTTAGTATATAGATTTAACTTAATGTTAATTTTGAATTAAAGTTAGATTTAATGTTCTCTTACTTGTATCTTACGCAAATTATGAAATTATACATAGTATGATGAATAAGAATCCGATATGATTGGCCGAGCGGAAAAATGTGTAATCAAATTTGTAAAAAATTGAATGTATAAGAGAAAGTGAGCATGCGAGACTGTCAAAAGTATGTACTTTGTAAAAATGTAAACGTCTGACAAAAACACTTTTAGTAAATTAATTAATAAACAAGTACAGAACAGAAAACGTAATCCTATAAGAGAATATTCTATATTTTGCAATAATTTAATATACCATAAAAATGTAAATTCTTAAAAATCAGTAGAGATAGAAGAATAATATGTTAAAAATGGAATCTTTGTTGTATCGAAATATATTTGTATAATGATATTGAAATATAATATCTGATATTTACAATATCTGATACAAGTGTTATATCACATTGTGTTTCGAAACAAATGTTCATCTTATCACGTACTCTAGTGTATATTCTTTTTAATATGAAGAAACCTTTGCATGTGATGAAATTCCCGGAAAACGCAGTGCAATGACATGTCCTATTGTTACAAAACGTTGCACCTTGAACGAACAACCAATTGTCAGACAGAATATAATTTGTTCCAAAAAAACACACAATCTGGTTACATTAATTGAAATTCTAGTGGAAAATAGACAAATCAGAATTTTCTGGTTAGACTTATTATAACTCTAGTTAAGATAACCAGAATTCCGATTGATATGATTAGAATCTTCTAATGCTTTCCGTTTTCAATCAGAAATTTATGTCAGTGTAAGCTCGATCAAAGTCAGTTCAATTGCCTCGATTTCATAGCGTTCGGCCGCATGAGCGAACCTCGACCGCTCGTAACAAAAACGAAGGCCCGCTCTTGAGATTTTCCCCCATAGTCAGACCGGTTTCAACACAGTATGGTCTCTATGTGAGATTGCCGGGCCGGAAACGGTCGAAGACATTGTAGCGGCGATATGTCTGCCGGAATGTATAGTGGAAGGTTCAGATTTTTGGCAAGGACTAAGTATATGGATACTGTAAACAGTAATATTTTTCTTGAGCGATTCAGAAATCCAAATAAGATAATATTCGAAAATTTACTCTAAATGAAACTATAGATGGTAAAGATAAAAATGAACCATTGCGTGATGAATTCAAATACTATTTGCTGAGTCATTCCCTTAGTATCGTATGTCTAAAACACATAGATGCATTAACTCTCCGTAGAGAAATGTCATTACATTAACCCGGGAGTGGCCGCTAACTTTATTGCGGTGTCATTGCTCGGTAAATGCAATTCACTTACAACAGTTCTTCCATAAGTAAATTAGGTTCGTTATTGTTATGTAACGCATTCTCACTACAGCTCTCCTATAAATAACACAAACATTTATAAATGACGATGTTCTTGTATGTACTACATCGTTTTCGAAATCCTTGTTGTTTATCGCAATGTAAATTTTATTAAAAGATTAAAATTTTTTTATAGATAGATATAGATAGATTAGAAAAAAGAAAGAGAGAAAAAGGGAGAATATAGGTATATACACTCGTAGTACATGAATATTAATGTGATCAAATAGTGACGAATTATTAAAACAATAAAAACAAAATGCAACGAGAAAATGTACGAACAAAATGCTGTTATTAATGCCTAAAAAGAGGTCAGCTCAGCATGTCTCTATTGCTCAGCATGAGTCTAGATTCACCCCGTGATCGCTGGACCGGAAACGAATCAGCTAGAATCGTTGGCGCGGCTGCATGATTATCGATTTTTCGTAGGACTCTATTTTTTTTACAGAAGTCTGTAAAAAATAAATTCCGAGCAACTTAACGAGCATACCTAGTAATTTAATCACATCAACCTGCGGGCTATGTAGGAAAAAGCTGAAAAAAGTTCGTCGTGAAGTTTTTGCGCTCTAGTTACAAGCTGATAGTAGACAAAGAGCAAACAGTGCCTTCCAATTGTAAGCTGATTAGCCGCTGAAACTTTCTTATTACAGTCGATATTGGCACTAGACTTTAAATGACGCTCTCGCATGGTCGAGAATAACATGTCCACAGAACTTTTGTTATAGTTCTCTTTCTTGACGATAATGGAAAGAAACTTTTAATTTATACTTACGAAAGATAATGGTTTAATATTTGTGATTTTATTATGAAACTTCTCTTATTTTTCTATGAAAATTCTCGCAAAATTAAAAAATAAAAACATAATTGTTTTTAAAAGCGAATTTCTTCTCACAATAACGCAAGTCGATGATTGTTGATCGTTTGTAAAAAAAAAGATGTAAAAAAAGACCAAGCTCTTGCAATCTGCTCGGAGGGGTCACTCGGCGTGCGCAAAGTTTGCTTGCCACATGGCCTCTGAGATATACCGGAAATGATCTAATCCACAAGGAGAAAAAAAACGTGGAATTCTTCAGAAACGAGCAACGACATAAATTGCAACGCAATTCCGTTATTAATTCATTCTGACTAATATGGTCATGGCTTCATATGTACATAATTTGCTTCTATTCATATCCATGCTATCAAGCAAATTAAAGCAGAGTACAAAAAAAAAAGACGAAAGAAATAAGCGTCGTCGAAAGAAGCAATAGACCTTTGCGTTGTTGGAAAAATTGTTACATTTAATATGTAATAAATATACAGAGTGTCGGTAAAGACCATAACAACGCTTAAAGATAGATTCCTGAGACTAGTGTGAGACGAAAATCCTAATACCTAAATCCTAATACCTAATAAAATATCGAGCTTCTTAATAGTTTTTGAATTATAAGCATTTAATACTTGGTTTATGCCTCGGTCTTAACTCTAAAATCTTAAAATTCAGTCAATAGAATACAAATTTCGGTTAGAATTTGTAGCTTTATTGGCTGAATTTCGCGTATTTAGGTTGATTGGCATTTTACGTTTACCATACTTGATGAATGCGGGAACTTTAAGCGGTATGATTTGCTATAACTTTAAATGCTGTAGTCATTAAATGCTATATAATAAAAAAACTATCATAATCGCGACATTTTGGTATTAGAATTTTCATCTCACAATAATCTTAGAAATCTACATTTAAGCGTTGCTACGATTTTTCCCGAACACCTTGTATATTTGGGCGTTGAAGACAGAAAAAGCGAAAATGCTAGGTGCAAAATGTGCAAGCAACGCAAACAGACCTAATATATCTCTCAGCTGCTCTCAGCGAGATGATATCTCCGTGCAGTCGTTCGTTCTCACTGATCACGGCGGTTTCGCAAAATACTGTTAGCTGGATGACGGTTGGGAGCCTCTCGGAACGAACGTGACAAATGAACGTGATTATCGATCGAATGGCATAATAGGTGGAGCAAATGGAGGTTCTCGGTCGCCGTGCCGCGCGAGGAATTCTCGAGTTCTCAATTATGGAGCTATCCACATCGAATCGAATATCGAGGTTATAGGTCGGGGCGGTTTCGAGAACATCGATGGGGAAGGTCAAGTCCGTCTATCGCATGAATACGAAACGCGACTCTGATAATAATAATAAAGGAGTTTCTCATATGTTTCAGAGACTGCTATGTGCAACAACTGTTCGCGTCCATGCTATCCAAGCGAGTTCTTTCCCAATGTCCAAAACAATCTCACAAAAATCATCTGGGCGCACGCTGTCAACAGCCTGATGGAATTGGACAAAGCACTCGCATCAAGTAAGTAGTCGCTCGACACTGCAATCCACGAAGCACGCGACCTGGGCTTTCCTTCGTCCTTCGTTTCTGTACTCGAAAAATAAAAAGGCAAACGGCGCTGCTCTGGTTACTATCGCGTGTTCAAATACCATCGGCTTTACCGGAAACATCGGTATCATCTTGAAGATGTTCTACGCACGTGGCTTTACTAAAACATTCCTCGAATCATAGATAAAAGAGGATAGAAAAGTTAATTTGAGATAAAATACTAACAGACATACGTCATTATAATAGTACTAGCTTTAAAATTAAGCTAACTTCTCTCTTAAAGATATTCGACGTGGCTTTAGTAAAACGTTTCTTAAAGTCTCTCTAAATAAAAGAAGATTTAAAAAATTTAGTTTGAAACAGAATGCTAATAGACGTTATTATCATTAAAGTGCTAACTTTAAATCAAGTTAATTTCTCATCAAATTCCAATTAGATATTTAAATACGGTTCGTTGCATGTTTTGAATGAACATGTATCGTTAATAATTAAATGGACCTACCCGCGGGCGTTATTTTTTATCACTTTTTATTCAATTTTCCGCTCTGTCAACGAAATCTGTAACTTAAGAGATTTCGAATAAGGCAACGTTGCAATCTCATATTAAATGCAAAACGATGTACACAAAGGTCGACATTCAAGAGATAATTTCGTAGACATTATTTCAACGAAATTTACTTTCAAGACACAACCACCCGCGAGAGTTAATATTAACATTAACGTTATCTATAATACGAGTACATTAATGAAAAGATAATAAAATGGTACAAGATATATATATATATATATAAAACTTTCTAAATAATCACCAACGGGCAGTAAGATATATATATAGTATATAGGTGTTTCCTCTAATTCGACCATCTAAAATATCTCCGTTGTTTTTGATGATACGGGAAAATACTACAGGAAATGTTATTCGGTTGAAAGAGACACATATTATGATGAGCGAAAATTTTTTCTCAAAGTCATAGTTTTTGAGATTTCGAGGTCATCGCGATTTTTTTAAATAGAATAATATATTTTCATTAATGTAGTAATGCAGTTCATAAAAAAACAAATTCAACCATATAAGATATGTTGTCCTTCAGATAACCTTGGATATAAAAAATCATATTTATATAGGAAAAAAAAAGTTAATATACTTAAGTGTTTTCAATGAAGATATTTATTTACTTTATTTTAGAAGATGTTCGAAATGATTGCTGAAACCATTTGTCGACAATTGATATGTATGTTGTTAGTTACTGCCATCAAAACAAAGGTTTTCATTCTCGCGCGAAGTTGTGCCCATTCACAATATGTTTACAAATATTTACACGTAGGAACATGAATACGGAAATACTTAAGGACATTTAGTCTTGACATCGCATTAAAATAGTTATTTCTGCATCATACGCATTTCTGCAATATCAACAAAAAGATGTATATACTCAAGAAGAGAAAAGAGAAATGATTTTAATTTATGGAGAACCAGGCCGAAACTCAGTGCGAGCTACACAATTGCATCCGGAAAAATATCTTGATCGTCATTGTCTATCCACACGTACATTTGATAAACTCGTTCAGTCATTTCGCACTTTTATAATCGAAATTATTGAAAGTGCGAAACAATCATTTATTTATCGCATTCAAAAATGTATGGAAGTTAATGGCAATCATTTTGAACATCTTTTAAAATAAAGTAAATAAATATCTTCATTGAAAACACTTAAGTATGTTAACTTTCCTTTTTCCTATATAAATGTAATTTTTTATGTCCAAGGTCATCTGAAGGACAACATATCTTATATGGGTGAATTTGTTTTTTTATGAATTGCATTACTACATTAATAAAAATATGTTATTCCATTTAAAAAAAATCGCAATGACCTGGAAATCTCAAAAACTATGACCTTGAGAAAAATTTTTCGCTCGTCATAATATGTGTCCCTTTCAATCGAACAACTTTTCCCAGTAGTATTTTCCCGTATCATCAAAAACAACGGAGATATTTTAGATAGTCGAGTTAGAGGAAACACCCAGTATATAAACATAGCTTAGCAGTATCTGACAGAAGAATATATAGTTACTGAAATTGCAGTAATATGAAGCAATTTAGATATTTATCTAAAGTGCCACACTAAACTATTTGCAAAGTACTCGTGATAAAATACTTAACATTGAGAAATGTATCAGTCGAAACGTAACTTCGGGGAAAAACATCGTATTTCGCGAATGGACACGTAATTTACCGCGAATTTGCGACTTCCATCGACCGTTGACATATTATTAGTTAATGAACTACGTGGCATTTTGCTACATACGCACGACTCTAGCCTTCAATGCTGGCGCTTTTTGCGTTTGTCACTTTCATGGATATTTCCATATATGAATATCGTCCGATTGTGTGCGCCTTTGTATGCACAACCCGCATCCGATGGCGCGTATTTTTATATCGGCGCGCTTTAAATAATAGCGGAGTGTCCTTGAAAAGTGTGCATCCAGAAATATCGACAGCGAAGGAAAGAGCTTCACGCCGCCGCGGTGTCTGCATCCTCCTGAGATTTCTTTCAGACGGTTTCACGAAGCGCGATTCCGTACATAAAATATAAGTCATATCGAGATTAATCTCACGTTTTTCGACAGCCGTCTTTCCCCCTGACACGCGCGCATTTCGTATCACGATTCCGGATGGATGCAGTATACGTCGTCTACTTTAGAGCGGAAAATTTCTTTCGACTGCGCGCTTGGAAAAAAGATCCGAACTCTCACATTTAAATTTGCTTCCTCTATATATACGACTGAGTCCTTCATAGACAAGTTATTTGTACACAGTCACGTTCGACGCGGAGTTTTCGAAAAGCACATCCGTGCCTCCGCTGAATCTCAATGAGACGTCAAGGTAGCCAATGGTCGAAAGCGGAAGTTCGGCCTTAGTTGTTCAATTTAGCATCTAAGCGCGTCACTCAATAATGAAAATCGTATCAAAACCCTAAATCCATCACGTTGATTGTACACCCGTTGCACGTTTCTAATAAATTTTCCAATGTCTTTTTACTATATCAGAAAAATGTCCCTCGTTCGAAATCCTCTGCAAACCTCTCTCAAAGCGCAACGGTCACTTTAATATACCTGCAAAAAAAGGATATCTACAAAGGAAAACGTCATACGTCCCTTCGTGCTATAAGTCCTGAACTAACGTGAGTCTATCGCCGCGTCTTCGGTCTTGGAAAAGCTAAAATTTCCAGTCGTTCGAGCGTTAACACTGGCAGATGTATGGATCCGACAGTCTTCCAGCCTCTTTAGGCGTGATCGATATTCGCCACACGTGTATGCACATACCTGGAACCCTCCCGCCCAATCGGTCGTCTCAACCACGGCTGCTGCCTCACACTCTCATGCGCGCACAAACACACATACTCACAGCAACCGACTTTCCTTTTTAAAGAGGATGTCATGATGCTGGAGGGCGACGTCGTGATGGGAAGACATACCACCAGCAATGTCACCGATTATATCCCGATAATGGCGCATCCACCAGCCACGGAAAGTGACCTATCGCTTGAAGAGTTCCTCATGATCAACAACAATAACGGCAGCAAGGGCATCAAGCTGGACTTCAAGTCTAATGAAGCTTTCAATTACAGCAAGATTATCCTTAAAAAGTTCCAACAATTCGTGCGTATATACTTAAATGCATCGCTTAATTATTTAGTATGTAATTACAACGTAATAAATAAAAATATTAATAAAAATATATTTATTTGTTCAGCTGAAGTGTCCAATTATCCTCAATGCGGACATTCTTGCGGGACCAGTCAACGCTACTGCTCCTCTGGTTGGCGTAGACTTTCTGAAAGAAGCTAGTTATATCTTACCGAACTCTACTATCTCTATCGGTTGGACAACCAGGTAAACAACTATCAATATGCACTATCAACATGAAAAGAGTAACAGCAGTTTCTAATATGCAACCTTGTAATTAATCAGCCGTATAAGCAAAGAAATATATGTGACCCTGACCGCACAAGATCTCTTATAAAAAAGGGTTATAAATATAAAGTCCCTGAGAGAGGAGATAATTCAACTTAGAGCGTTCTGATGAAACACATTGAATGTCAGTATTATAACAAGAATGCTTTAGCTCGGTTCTACCAATGTAATAACTTTAGTATCTTTGTTCAATTTATTCTTTATCTTTTTCCAATTCCAGAAAAAGATAAACAAAATTGAGCCAAACGGCTTATATGGCTGAATAATAAAGAAAACATTTATAGATTGAACATAGCTAAAAAAATAATTTATAGATACTATTTGCATTTACAAGATTTTAATGAAATATAATGCTTTAACAAAATACAATAAAGTGCAAAGAGATATTCAGTGCATTTGTATACTGAGAAAAGAATTATTTATTGAACTAAATTAGTTTAGTTCATTTTTATTTCTTTCACTGAAGAGTGTATGTATTTTAATTAAACATATTATATTTGACTTAAACATATATATTATATAATATAGCCAAAGAAAGAAATAAAGATAATTAAACTAATTAATTAATTTTTGTATCGTGCAGACGTGTTAATTTTCTGTCTTCGTGTCGTTGAAAAAGACTAACGGATTTATTATGGATTTCGACAATCTTGACAGCCTTTTATTTGATAATTGTGTGCTGATGTATCCATGTATCAAGGTTTGGAAACTTAAAAATTGTAGTTCTTGTCAATCATTTATATATAATTAATCCTATTGTTTACAGAAAGTTAATGTCTTAATTCTTTTATAGATTTATTATCGATCTACCAATCGCTTATAATAAATTCCTTATCTTGATGTCGGATGCATCATTATTTCACCAATGATTTATCTATACGATGTTTTTTTCATTGATCACTTCTGAAGAAGACTCAATCCACGAGTCGAAACATGTAAAATTTTATAGGTTTTATGATTAAGCTTATTTTTATTTTTGTATTAAGTTTGTTCTTGTTTTTTCATATTTATGTATATATTTTTATATCTTCGAATTTAGTCTTGTTTTCATGTTAATTTATATTAATTTATTTTATCTTTTTACTACGTGATTAAAGAAATTTTTAATGTTTGACTCTTAATTTGTCTTTTTTGTTTCTATTTATGTTTGAGAATAAGAGTCTTTTACTTACTTATTTATTATTATAATTAAACTAATTTAATCCGATAAACGATTAAGACGTTATATAAACAATTTTTTTCTCTTTGAGAGAATTTTTTCTTGTTAGTTTTCGATTATTTATTAATTCATTTATTACATGTAATATAATAAAGTAATTAAAAATTAATTTTAATTTTCGTCTAGTCGCATGATGTGTGACAGAAATTCAGCAATTCGTCAATATTTTAGATACGGAAAGGAATTCAACATCACCGAGGGTCGATATAGTGAGAACCAGATCAAGGAAATGGTCAAAATTGTAACAGACAGTGGTATCAACCTGCCGATAACTTATCCAGTACGAGCGGTTTTTGCAGTAAACAATACCGATAGTATGAAGGAATTGTTGAAGAACACGACATCCACCGGTGGTGCGACGTTAACGATCTGGTCGTCGGAGGGCGATTACGTCGATGCCGCGAATCTTTCAAAACTGATCAAAGAAGTGGGACTCAATAAGGTTTACGTCGATGTCCCGACAGACTTGAGAAACCAACTGAACCTCTCGGGCGCGTCTACGATGACATCCACAATAATGATAAATTTAATCGCGTCGTTGACGCTTTTGGTCATGTCGAGAATGTTGTAAGAAGATGTAGGTAGTAGATATTTGCGACGAGATTCGAGAAAAAGAGGGCTCAAACCCTTAATTTCGGGGGTCTCTCGATGGAGAAACGAAAGTACGAGCGAACGAAATCCGATTACGATTGCATGTCGTAAATATCATTTATGATCGCCATCGAGATCGTTTAATTGGATTTTCGTCCATTTTGACTACATTTCTTGTGACGTATCTCTTATGACGTCAAAGTCATCGTCGCAGCGAACAGTTTCCATAGCGAGATATTTTCCGAGCAAGACTTCCTCTATCCAAGAAAAAAAAACATAAAATCACGGATACAATTTGTACTTAAATGAATCATTCGAATGACACGCAAAACAATCCAATTGTATAAAACATATGATATTTTCTTTTTTAATATATCTGACACGATAAGTCATAAAAAAAGAATACCTGCATATGTGTAAGTAAACACGTTTCAATTATATCGAGAGTAACTTTAATACCGTTATACCGATAAACAGTAACACTTTACCTATTGTTAATTAATGTCTAAAAAGTTTCTTAATATTACAGTATACGTATGTTAATAAATCAATCGTAAACGTAGCAACTACATATATAAACATACACACTCACACACACATATACATACACGCAACCGATCACACATTCGAAATAATTGTTGCATAAAAGACAACAGTTATATATGAAGGACGTGCATCTGATAAATTGTCCTTAAATTTTTTATTGAAGTACAAACCGCGATATAAAAAGAGTGCGCCTTTTTTAATGTAATTTCAATTACCAAACATATTATAGAGCGCGCGCGCTCGTTGTGTATTAATGTCCCTTCGTAATGTTTACCCCGTACCTGCGTTTAACATATCTCCGATTTAGGTGCAGCAAAAAATCATATTAGTATCTATATAAGCTACATATTAAACCAAACGATTTTAAAAAATGGAGTATACGGTGCGAAAACGCACTGCGTTTGATAACGAGTCAATAAAACATGCAAAATTATCAAGAAAACTGGACTAAATTTATTTATCCTAAGTGTCGAATTTTAATGTAAAATATTCTCTTAATTTAAAAAAAGAACACAAATCTTTTCAACAAAAAAAAAACAAGTATCTACAAAGGCTCAGCGAAATAAAAATTTTTGAATCATGTAGTAGAGGATAATTTCCGAAGCATGTAATAATTTTTATTTGTTAAAAAGGACTTTTTATTTATTAATAAATGAATTATGCAAGAAATTAGCGCTAATAAATAATATATTTTTTTATACGTATATATGGAATTGAAATTAGACAACATTCAAACATTTTGATCTGTCAAATTGAAACATTGAATATTCTAATTTTGTCTAATTGTCTAAGAATCGTCTAATTTCAATTTTATGGAAAATATTTAGATTTCGCTCGTTTTTTGCTATGCAAAGTATAAAGAAAAATGTTCTAAATCGAACAGTAATAAGTCATTGTAATACTTGCGCTTAACAGACGAACAAATAATGATGCTCCTGTTTTCATACATTTTACACAATTTCCACATTCACACAAAAACAGGAGAACCATTTCTCTTTCAAACAAATTGTCATACTAGCACAATACCGTGTCGCTTTAATCGTAAGATTATGCGTTTATCTCGTTGACATCTTTATTTCGCTGAAGAAGGACCTATGAGGTCCTTCTCGAAATATTCGATATTTTTATACTTTTATATATTTTTTATATTTTTATTTTATGTTTCTTAGAGACTAATATTGTAAACTATTAATTTTAAAAAAATGTTATTACTGGTCGATTTAAATCGTTTTTTTTTTGCAAAAAAATATATTGTTATTTATTATAGGAGTAACGTCTTGTTCGACTTATTTGCCTTTTTCAATAAAATCAGGTTAAATAAATTAAATATTAGCTTAAAGTAAATTTAGAGATCGCAATCTCATAAGTGTCGTTCTATGTGTCGTGTAACAAATTAGTAGAATAAAATAGCTAGTATTGTTTGCTAATTCAATAGGGCGCCTATTTGCCATTGTTATACGTAATTATCTGTGTAGATGGAATGCAAATGCCCGACGCATAGTCGCTAAAGGTAATCTAACAGATTTGTCAGAATAAGGCGTACATTGTAACAATGGCATTCTCTTTTATGCTGATGTTGCGTTTTTATCTAGCAACACGGAAGATTTATGTACGACATTGAATACACTAAACCGCGCAATTTATGCATGATAACAATTACCGTTTTTTAAACTTCCATTTTCCATTTTTATGATGCAATAAAGATTATTACAAAGAGCCGCTTTCTTCACAAGCTACTGGTTGCGGGTTGTTCCTGTTAACTATTAAGAAAAAAAGTTGGAGGAGGTTAAAAGGTTCTCATGAGTAATGTTTGCATTTAAGATACAGGGTGTAAGCTATAATAGGGTACGCACTATTTGCTCTTTTCTGTTTGTTATTTAGTTATCTTTGAAGTGCTTCCGCTTGCGCTACCCGGAAAATGGCTGTAGTGATGATAAATTCTAGAAATTTGTATCATGAACAAGGGAACGCTTACAACATTTTCGGGTGGTATTTCACAGAGACCAATGCGCGGTGTTGGTTCTTCTTTGCGATAAACACACCGCAGCGGAAACGCATGAAGAATCTTGCGGAATGACAAGACCGGACACTTTCCCTCGCACGAGGAGGGTACACGCATCTGGTATCTCAAGGTAAACGTGGTGAAAGAAGAGGAGTATCCACGAGAGTATCGCGGGAGGTGTCTCCTCGGTCGAGGTGTCAAAGGTCGCGCGACGAAGTGCCGGCGGCCTTGGGATTACAGAAGAAGCTATTCCGGTTATCACAATCGGACTCCGACACGCGTTCCTCGTCGCCCATCTCGCGTGGCCACTCAGCAGGTGCGCCGTGCAAAATGGGATTTTCTACGTGTGCGAGAAGCGGCGACCATCAGACGAAAATGCATCTCGGAGATTGCAACCACGGCGGGTGTTCCGCGTTTTTTTTTCCCTTTGAAGCGAGAATCCCGGTCCATCCATCTATTCCCTCCCTCGACTGCTTTTAGCGTGTTGAACGTGATTTATTTCTGTAACGAAGAAAGTCGTGAGTATTTATGGTAAATTTATTTGGAATGCTTGCGCGGAAATAATCTGCTTTCGATCGAGCTTTTACGAACGTCGGAACTATCTAAGTGCGTTATGTGTCGTATAAAGAATAAAGCAGGCTTTCTGGAAGTTTCCTGGAGTTTCTTTATACGTAATACACAAAAGATGCAAATCCAATTGGTTATCGCAGACGGAAAGTGAGATTTCTCGAAATGGCAAAGTGACCCAAAAAAAGCACAATCTTCATCGATAACCCAAATGAACTTGGACGAAAGACGTGAAATCGGAAGGAACGTACACAAACTATGCTGATAGAGAAATCACAGAATTATCTTTCGCTTGTAAATTTACAATACCGATGTGTCGATCAACTTTTTTACGCTAAGCTTGTTTACTGCGAGTTTATTTTGTAGTCATATAATATTTTACATCATCCACGATATTAAATTATCCCATCCATGTCAACGCACGGAACGTCCAAATAATCTGATAAAAGATTAATATTCCGACGTGTTGATTTCATAAAATCAAGGAGAGCATGTATCACACGATTATAACTAGTATGACAACCTTGATAATCATTATGAATATGATAAAGTACGAGCACCTGTGATTTATAAATGCATAATACTTCTAGATAAATGATTAATCACTCTTTTTCGGATAAATTTTTCAAAAGAGAAAATACATGCATTTTAACGAGTTTTCATTCATTAGAAAAAGCAAATAAAGGTGACAATTATACAAGTTTTATATGTAGAATCAACGTATATAATTAAATAAACTATTTTATATAAAATATTAATTTAACTATATACATTTGAAGATAATAAATCATAAAAGCATTATCAACTATGTATATTAATTCTATGTATAAAAATGTGTAATTGTTATCTTTATAGCTGCTATCACTTTTTTCAGAGTGTTTCTTTTTTTACATTTAATTGTTAATAATAAAAAGTTTTCGATTCTTTTGGAGTCTATCGATTCCATTAAATTTTCAGTATAATTAATCATTAGTTACGCTTATATTTTAAGCAATCCGCGATTATTACGAGTCACGAATAGCAACTGTACATATGAAAACGTAAAAAATGTTCGTGCATAAGAAATCAATAGAAGGAACGAGACGGAACGAGATAATGTCGGCGACACGGATCTTTAAGTCGATGACGTATGAAAGACTACACGTGCATTCGGACCCACGCTACGTTCTGTAAGTAGAACAAATCGGTACCTCTCGCGTCCGTCTCTCTTCTGGCACGAAAGGCGCGCTCTAATCCGCGTGACTAATCTCGTTTCGTGTTCACGAAAATCTCGATGAAACCCCACATGACCACGCAAGCTGCCTCTGAACGTTCTTTATCTGGACGATCGCTCGAGTCCTATCGCCCGGAATGAAGTGCTCGCAAACGCATACTTATCGTCCGGTCGTGTGGAACACGAAATGTACTTCACGAATAGACTATTTGTAATAAAAAGCAAATAGTAAAACGTGGAGAATATTATCGCGCGTTTGTACTTTACGATCACGCGTGACGGTTATTCATTTCATCACTCACGACGAAAGTCACGCAACGCGTCTTCGAAATGGCACGCGTATAAAAGATGCTTAAAAAAAGAGAGAATTTATCCTCCCAGCCCGCTATTCGTTTAACCGAGCGGACCTCTCACCTCTCGTTGATCTACACGGCTCGAGATTACACGCGTTCCACGCAATTCCGTCAGACGGATATATGATTTAATCGCCGTTTTAACGAGTCGGCGTTAACGAGGGCCCGTTTGTTCACCCTTTCGCTAGTCCCGACAAGTGGATATACAAATTAACGCGGACACGAACGCCGACGGAGCGTGAAAGCGAAATAATTAGAGAAATCCACCGTCGTCGCCGACGCCAAACGCCACGCCGCGCCGCGCGCCGTGACCGATAGATTCCGCGTTGTAAAATCAATTTTTCCGCCTCGATCCGTGCCGCGGCCTCCGACGCGTATTACACAACTCACTCCCGACATTTAGGAAAATGAGTCTGGCGTGAAATATTTTAATGACCGTGCAATGTAGAAGCAATTTTGATCTCTGCCTGCATCCGATGTTTTACAAGATAATGCATGCAGGAAGAAAAACGATAATAGTTCATTAAAGATACGTTTGGTTAAGCAAATTTTGATGGCTGTAAACAGAATTTCTGATCAGATATTTTGATACGCAACATTTAGGCATGATACCGGTTATAGAATTTGATCACTGCTTAAAATAATGTTGATGTAGTACGCTAGAAAAGCATTATAGTTGAATTGATTAGAATTCTAGTTAAAAATGGATAAATTAGAATTTTCTGGTTCGCTCATTTTAAACCAAAAACTCTTCTCATGAATAATACTGTCTAAGTATCTGGTTATTGTGACTAAATACTGTGAAAGATAACGAAATAGTAGCAACTATAAGTTTGCAGGCAATATTGAAATTATAAAATCTAAATTATAAAACACATCACATATAGCATCAAATTGACATATGGTGTTAAATTTAACATTATCTTATTGTTAGTATAAAATAATGATAAATTGAGTAGGAGTGGCGACTTAAATTAGATTAAATTTGACACCATGTAGGTGTTAACAGTGAGTATCGAAAATATAAAAATATAGTAGGTATACAACGAGGGGGTAACCACTAGCTGAAATATTGTCTCACAGATTACATGATTTTATTTGATTTCATCTGATGAATCTTCACTATACATCTGAAGTTATTTAGTAAAATAAACGATTATATCTGATATTATACAATTATTCCTTGTAATTACATATGTAATTATCGGATTATACATAAGGATTTCATATGATTCTTATACTGATTTCAGGAACTCTATCCCACGATTACATTAAGTGATTACCCCCTCGGGGTAAACACGCATACAACGTGTGAGAGTGGAAAAAACTCAAAATGCGTATGATTACCGTAATCAGAATAGGGTAAACCCGGTATATACGCCGCACCTATCGAAAACTTAATTTATCAATTATTATTTACTATGTTTAAAGCAAATTATATAAATAAAAGCTTTGTATCATCTACTACTATAAAAAAAAATATTAGAAATCCAAAATAATTTATTTTCCATATTAAAAAGAAACTTTTTCAAACCTCTGCATTTTTGCCATTTATTCCATAGGGGGGGGGGGGGGGGGGGGG